GGAGTTCTTATTGGCCTTGCACCATTTGTTTCTCTCAATTTCTCACCCAATATAATGTCTAAACATCAAACTTTATCCTTTGAGGTCATCGGCCCTAACGAAAATGATCGTGTATTTGATGATGTGTCTAGAAATATGACATCAACTTTAAACAGTTCGGCTTTCCAGGATAATTCTATGTCTGAGCCTAACTTAGTATACGATGAAGTGAAAGATGATATTGTTGTCAAAGCCTTTGTTAACCAGTCACTTGATCAAGAATTTATATTGTCCAGAAAACTTTTGATCATTGTGACACCAACAGAAGCCCATTCATTCCAAGTGTACAATCTTAACCGTTTGGCCCACACATTAAAATTAGTCCTCCCTCCTCTGCTGTGGATAGTTGTGGAGATGGACTCTCAATCAATCGAGACAGCTGATATATTGAGGGGTACTGGAGTTATGTACAGGCATCTCGTATGCAAGAGGAACTCGACTGAAGTAAAAGATAACAGTGTGCACCTAAGGAATATGGCACTAACACACATTGAATCACATCGTCTTGATGGGATTGTTTACTTTGCAGATGATTCCAACATATACTCCCTAGATGTCTTTGAACAAATGAGACAGATCAGGTAATCTACTTATTCATTTTGCGTATAACCGTATGCTAGTAATCTTTCTTTGTTTATTTTTTCAGTGATTAGCCTGCACACTAGCAATCTTTCGGTTTTAGATTGTGATATACATAAAGTAATTCTTGCAGCAGATTATGTCAGAAGGGAATATTGAGCTTCCGCAGTTCTATTGGTGTTTGCATAATTTCTTTTGCTTTGATCTTGTGAAGTTGTTACTATCTGTATAAGTGGGAAGTAAATGCAATAGAGCAAAACTTAGTGTGACTGGTATTCGCTATTTTGGTAACAACACTTGTTCCCCTTTTTATATGCTTTGCTTCAAGCTAAACTCATAAGAGTATAGTGAAATGAAGGATCTAACAAAACAAACAATCAGTTTGATATTACACTTTTCCTAAACCCTGTACGTTAGAGTGAAATAGATAGAAAGGATCATATCTCCGACCCCAACTATTTTGATGATTGAGCCGTGGTTGATTAATTGATGATTGTACATAGAGGAAGAAACAAGCAGGGTTCAAGGTAGTAGTGGATTGGAATCTGGAGTGGAGCGGAATGGATATATATCTGATTCATTAGTCAACCACCAGTAGTTTAGGATTGACTGATTCTATCATAGTTGTAATTGTGACTAATAACATGGTTAATATTTCACGAAATAGATCTAGTTGGAAATATTTCATTCCCCTGATGAGTTCAACTTCAAATGAATATTCATTCTTTCGTTTGTTTCCTAACTTCTAACCACTTGAAAATCTTCCCATACGTGGGAGTGATCAGAAATGTTGTCATGTATATGGTCTTATAGTATTGTCAAAGGTGAAAAAGCCAAGAATTGCTGGGACTTTAATCGGAAAGTGCAGCCGAAGTTCACACTTTGATGAATGGAAAATAATATATTATTTATATATCTGTTGAAATATAACTATAACACAAACAACAATCATATAAGTTGAGTTGAAGAAATACAACTATGTGAAAAATGTCAAGTAAAAGAACATTTGATTGCTCCACTTTTGCACTTGTCTATATTCTATAGGTTTCTAGAAGAAAGTTGTCCTGCTCCTCACATATGTTTCTTAATTCCATATCTTCATTTTAAGTTGCATATTTATCAACAAAAAAAAATCTCTTTTTGGTCTTTGATCTCTCTCGGGTTGCTATTGCTTTCAAACATTTACTGGCTCACTTTGACAAAGATGATGATTTTGCTCTTATACTTTAATTTGGATTTGCCATTCTGTCTATAGGCTTTCTTGTTCTTGATAGAAAATTGTTGTATGCAGCCGGTTCGGGACATGGGTTGTGGCACGACTAGCTGAAAATAATAGGAAAGTTATCTTGCAGGGTCCAATCTGTAATGGCTCTCAGGTTATAGGTTGGCATACTGATGGAATGGCAAAAAGATTCCAAAGATTCGATGCTGAAATTTCAGGATTTGCATTCATTAGTACAGTACTTTGGGATCCAAAGAGGTGGAACCGACCAACTCTAGCGTCCATAAGGCAGCTTGATATATTTGAAGCTGGCTTCCAAGTGAGTTTCACTGCTACTATTGTAACTCTGATATCTGTGTAAACAATATTTTATTCGTTAGCTCACCTGTTTCAGCACAAATTACATGACTATTAGTCTATAAAATGATTTTCAATGATCCTAATTACAGGTGAGCACATTTATTGAACAAGTTGTGGACGATGAGAGCCAAATAGAAGTCTTTCCAATGCACTGCTCAAGAATTATGGTTTGGCAATTCAATACGGAGCTTTTGTATCCATACCCTCATGAATGGAGGTCAAAGAATTATCCAGGCACTATCGCTGCTAGCGTGTGAATGTTGACATAGAGAGGGCTTCTTCAGCGTAAACAAGGTTAGCAAGTTACGTGCATAATGTTATAGTTGGAGCTTATTAGCATTCTTTTCTTCTTAAGCAATAATATCATTTTAATTTTATCTGAGAAGCTTCTTAACATTCTTTAATAAAAAGACAGCTCGGTGCACTAAGCTCCTGTTATGTGTAGCCTGTAGGTCCGAGGAAGGGTCGGACCATTAGGAGCTTCTTAACATTCTTCACTTCTTCTTTCTTTTGTGCAAAAATATGTTTATTGCAATCCTAGCAATGGAATCGCACATTAGGTTCTGAAAGAGAAGTTGAGAGAAAATGCTACTTGATTAGTCCCTCAAGCTAGCTAGTTTAAGTAGTGTATGTACAAGTGCTAAAATACGAAAGAACCAATTTAACTAATTATGACTAATCCTAATTGATACATAATGTCATTTACAATAATCCTGAAAATACCAGTTTCAAGCTAGGAAATATATGAAAGCTCATGTCGAGTATCTTTTGGACTTGGACACGAAAGCCAAGATAGTAGAACCTCCTTGTTTCTGCATTTTTGTTGGACGTCTGTGATTCATTTCCTGCTACATAATGTTCAAACAGAACAAAAGGTGAATTTCGGATAGCCTATAGATTAAACTGCTCCTTTCTTTGTTACCTGAAACAGCAATAAACTTCCTCTGAAATAAGAGTATCTTCCCTTGTAACTGCACATTATACTAGCACAAGGGATATTGAGAAAAAAGAGTGATCTTAATATTCATGTACTCGAGCACAGAGACAATAATAAACCCACTCCTTAAGTCTCCTGGTGCTGACAAGTGATAACTTCTGCTGCATTGTCAGCCTCAGAACAAAAAGACGACACAACATATCCAGTGTATAGTCTGGGGCAGGGTTAGGAGCCACCTTGTGGTCAGGGGTTCATCAGGACCTCCTTCGGCAGAAAATTATACTATTAATGCATGGCTGATTTTTTTTTTCTGTAATATATATAGTAGATGTCTAATCCCTTTGGCTAGTTTGTGTGTCTACGTATGCAGACCTTACCCCACCTCGTAAAGATAGAAATGTTGTTTTAGATAGACCCTTGGCTCAAGTAAAGCATTAAAAAAACAGTTTGAAAAGAGAATATGGAAATGAAAACCGTAATACCAACGAAATAGAGTGCTATGGAAAGCAATACATAGCATACAGAGAAGGAACAATAACAAAAACGAACTAGTACAATAACCGAAGCACAGATGATAAGGACAATGAACGAACAAGAGTAGTGCAGATAGTACTGGTTAGAAAGTAGGAACCGATACAACCACCTATCCTACCCTGCAGGAAAATGAGAGAACATACCAGAACAAGCACTATCGAAATCTTTAGTAACATCAGCAACACAAGATAATAGGAGAATAACCTCATTTTAAATACTTCAAAGATCACAACACAGAAATTGCATCTAAACTACTACATTGATTAGTTCTAGTTGACTTCTCAATAAGTTTTGCATCTAAAACTACATTAATTGCTCTTTTCTGTTAATTGCAGGGAGAACTAGTTATGATTATGAGGTTTTGTCCCACCATCAGCTCATGGTTGATTTCAGGACTATTTTCTCTGTCTGAATCCGCGTAGAAGTATCTTGTTACCGAAACAATTCTGTACAGTTGCTGAGTTCATCCCACTTTACACGTCTGGCTACGAAGTGGAAAGCCACGATTAGCCAGGTGATTTTCAAACTGATTGGTGTGCATTCATGGCCATCTACACAAATGTAGAGTTGTGCAAGTACCCAGCCATTTATTTCGGCTAAAGCTAGTCACAACCAACTTAATAGTTCAATGAAGGATTCAACCTCATTGAGCTTTCAGATTAGTTGCTAGACTTGTGCATATAGCAATGTTACTGGAAAGTAAATTCTTTATGGCTGATATTTATGCAAGTAAAATTTCATTCTTGTCAACTTCCAAAATCAATTCTTTTTTGTGTTTTGTCTCGTACATCTTACCCTTCTCAAACCCTACTTGTACAATTACACTATAGATGTTATTGTTCATGTTATTTGCTTGTGAAAGTTTTGGTTTATAGCTCTTGTTCTGTTGAAAAAAAAAACACCAAAAACACTAGTAAATGAAGGTTAAAAATTGTCACTATTTGACTATTGAAAAGTCAGAATCTTGTTTAAGATAAAACTCATTCAATACATTTACCCTTTAAAATTATACTGAAATATAGTGATGTAGGAGTGAAAATGGGGTTGTGGGAGTTAAAAACAAACATTGAAATGTATGAACATTTTTTTTATGCACATTATAACCATTTTTCATGTTTCACACACACAAAAAAATTATATTATAATATGAGAGATACATTTTACTATATTTATTATCAAAAATTTCAAATATTTTATAAAATAAAGTTAATTTCATTATGAGTACCATGTAGTCAATATGTCCGAGTGGTTAAGGAGACAGACTCGAAATCTGTTGGGCTTTGCCTGCGCAGGTTCGAATCCTGCTGTTGACGCTCCTTTTTTTTCTTCCCGTCCACGACTCGAACTTTATGCCCTAAGTTCTTACATCGACCTCAAGTTAATATAAAATCGAGTTTATGGGCTAAGTAAGCATAAGTCCTTACATCGACCTCAAGTTAATATATAATCGAGTTTATGAGCTAAGCATAAGTCCTTACATCGAACTCAAGTTAATGTATGATCGAGTTTATGGGCTAAGTTCTTATACAGCTCTCAAGTTAATAGATAATAATCATAATAATTGAATCACGATAATACTTTTAGTGACATACACAAAGGGGCGGGAAATTATACTACTTGCATATAGTAGATAATGAACTCCGTTCGACTAGTTCATGTATTTTATTTTTTTATATTTTGAACTTTTCTTGATAAAATTTTTAGCTCCGCTACTGTATGACAGTACATTATCTATAAGTTGAATAGCATAAAAACTCCATGAAATCCATATGGCACTCTATTAGGTAATAGGATTATGGCAATTGGCTCATTTTCAAAGTTTTTTGCATCGAGTATATAAACCTGCAACATAGATATATGATATATAGTCAAATTTCTATATAATATCATTTTTTTCGAATCGTTTTTAATACTATTATGAACTTACTTGAGATTGATTTGTATTTTCATTGTGTGTGAATGCCACAATCCATCCATCATCTTCATCAACACCATCAAGTTTTGGAACAAATGTTGCTCCACTACAAAATGTGTTTTTTGGGAAAATGTGATACTCAACCTTAATCAAATCTCCTTTTTTGTCATCCTAATAATTAATCAACATTTTAAATATAATATAAATTAGATAAATTAATATTACAATTTTAGAAAATGTCAAACATAATATTATTGACACAAATTTATTTAAGTAGTAATTACCTTTGAAATTTCTTCAAAATTAAGTTTGGCTAGCCCTCCAAATTTAGCAAATCCTCCTGATACATTCTTTGCTAAAAATTGAAGATAATATGTTATCATAAAGTTTAATTAGTAAACATGAAAACATAATTTACTCATTTAAAATTAAAAATATAATACTAACCTGAGTTAGAGAAAGTTTCTAAATTAATAAGTTGTTGATAACCAAATTTGTTTTTGAGACCAATGAAGTGTTCATTGATCATTGGGAGTTCCATAATAAACCGATGATCGTTCGTAGTTAGATTTTTCATCTTCACTTTACTTGTTTTCATGTTTAATCTCCATTCACAAACATTAAAAAAGGAAAATAAATCTTTTGACGATTCAATATTATCTTTACTGAAACTTGTCTCGTTCAACGTATCTGAACTCAACTCTGACTCATTTGGTCTTGGTATAATCCATCGACGAGCTCTACATGCCCTCACCACCACCTTTTACACACAAAAAAATAATAATTTAATTTTAGTAGTTTCATAATAATTTTTTTTTGTATAAAAAATAATTAAATCAAGTTAATTTTTTTAAAAAAAACAATTACCTCATCATAATCTTCAAAACAATTTATTAGGTGAAATACATAACATGGTTCAACTTCAAACCATTTAATGGAATTAGCATCACCATAACGTGGCATTATTCCAATTCTTGCATATCCATCTTCATTGTATTTTATTAATCTGCAAAATAATGATATATTAATTAAAGGATTTAATAAAAATTGTATTTTATTAAATTGTAGAATCACTAGAATTATTTTTATTTATACAAAATGTTTGAAATACTTACTCCTCTCCAATAATAAGTCTTTTTAGGTCCATAGTTAGTGGAAAATCCAAAATCACATTATACCTACATATAATTGAAATAACCATATTTTAATAACATTATCATACATAATAATTAAAATTTAAGTTCATATACACTAAATTACAAAACAAAAAAGTTAACACTATTAATACTATAATGTAACAAACTATTTTAATTTCATTTTTTCAGGTTATCATAACAAACGCACGACATGTTATTATGAATTCATTTTATCTGACACTATTAAAAAGTTATACAAAATTAATACATAAAACATAAACTTGTGAATAATAATTACCTTTTTGTAACTCCAATTTCATGGCAAAGAATACACCTATTTAATTTGAGATCCACCTTATGAATCATTTGTTTTCCATCAGCTGAAAATTTGAAGGAAATTTCTAAATATATTAGAAAAATAAATAAATAAACATAAAATCAATTGAGTTTCCTAATTTATCTTCAAAATAGAAAAATAACATACCTGAAATGACTCCTAGCTCAAAATAAGGCTTTAGTGGATAGGTTCCCATTATTACAAGCTCACCCGTATCTCGAATTTTCTATCGATCGAGATATAATATGATTAAATAATAAAAAATAATATATATTTTAATATGATATTAAATATTGCAAACGCTCTTGCTTTCAAATCTCACTCACATTCGAAAAATTAAAAAATATTTTTTTTCTAAGTTAGCTTCGTAAGAAAATTATATCCTCTACATGCGTGAGGCATGTGAGAGACACAGTATAATTAAGTAATATATACATTTTTTGACGAAGAATGTTCAACTGATTTTTCAATATTCTTTTCTAACGATTATAAATTTGTCAGTACTGCTACCAACTAAAAACTAAACATAAATTTTCACGTGCTCAACTCATGAAAAAAAAATTACCTTTGGATGGGCTGTGAATGATCGAGTCCAATCTCCATTAATAGTCCAATTTCCCAAAGTTTCTAAAGTTCGTATATTTATCTCTTGAGGTATATGATTTTCAGCAATTGAATAGTATTTCTTTGAGTGCTCAAACACATTTGTATTGCTTAGATATTTGTGAAATACACCAAATCTTAACTGCAAGATAATAATGATTAGACATAGTATATATACAAAATATAATTTCTAGTGTCGATACGTGTGTTGCTCAAGTATTTTATTTAAAAAAGAATAAAATTTTAAAAATAAGTGTAAATATATGATTTAAATTTTAGTTTATATATCTGAAATGATGTCAAATATTTTGGGACATCCACGTAGATAATACTAGATATTCTTCATTCATAATCAAAGTTTTCGAATTAGGTGTGTGCAAACAACATCTAAAAAATGAATTACGATATTTGATAGACTGACAACGGAAATACTATATCAAAAATGAACTTTAGCGGTAATTAATTAGCAATTGCTGCTAAATGTGTACTTTTAACGATAATTAACATTCTTTGTATATATATATGTTCCTAAAGGCTTTAGCTACATTGGATCTAATAACACTTAACTAATGCCAGTAAAGATTTTAATATTCTCTATTCATGTGTCAATTTATTGCCGCTAAAAGTTATTTTTGTTGTAGTGAAAGAACTTGACATACTCCTTTAATTTAGAATCATAGAGTTTACTTTGCTTCTCGTTAATTGACAATAAAATTATGAGTTTCATAACTCGATTAGGCGATTCGTATCTTTTTATGACCCAATAATAACAAGGATAGACAGAGTAAAACCTCGTACCCTACTTCATAGGAACTTTCTTTTCTAATAAGTCTTGCGCGATATGAATATAATATTAGTTGAAATTGTAATATAGATACAAAATATCGAATAAAAACAAAAAATTGGATGAAAGAGGTATAGTATAGTTCATGACATACCACATTTAAAAGGATAGCCATGAAAACAGCAAGAGAATCCCCTTCCATATTAGGAACAATACTTGGTTTTTTTCTATCTTTTTCTATGTTAAATGTGTCTGTTTCTACATATTTATTCTTATAAAATATATTCCATTTGTTGCCTTTTTCTTTTTCTTTTGTAAAGTATAAAGCATGAAGCATTCCTTCACCTTCAACCCATATATGACTTGATTTTCCAAATATTGACTTGGTTGATTTCAATCCTCCAAAAAGAGGATTTGCTCCTGCATTCAGAGACAGATTCGAGATTTAAATTTTATCATAAGTTCGCAGGATATGTCTTTTAACTTGTCTTTATTTTCACAATTATGTCCTTCAATATTGGATGTGCATGTTATACGAGGCGTCCTACATATTTATGTCCTACGTGTATTATGTCAATCACACAGGATTCATGTGTCTACCTGTTCAACATTATACAAGTTTAAGTATCGTCTACTAATGCACAACCAGAGTGGAAGGACGTATATGTGAAATGAGATCAAGTTAAAGGATATATTATATATAATGCTTACTAATTATGAGCGGAAAGTTTTGTATCGTTATCTTCGAGATGACCTGATAGCGTAAAATAAAAAAAAAATCAAAACATTTTTACCTACCATTTCTTATGTAAACACCCTCTGGAAAATCATTTGGAATTTTCCCTTGAATTGTAGTGACTCTTACAGCTTCTCCAATCTCTTCAACAGGTGCAAAATTACTCTATCAATTATATGTATTTGTAGGTAAATTAAAGGAGTCCAAAAAAGTTACTAAAAATATACATAAATATGTATAAATTAAAAAGTGTTATAATGGAAAAATATATAATTATATAAATTTATATGTACCTGAGATGGGAGCAAAGGTTGGTCCACAAATTCAAAGGTGAAATCTACAAAATTATCCAATAATTTGAAAGAAATTTCCTTAATAACTTTTTGTACATCCAAATTTTCCAAATTTGACAAAAATGGCTGTTCCACAATAAAAAATAAAAAAAGTTTTTAATTAGCTAAAATTTAAAATTAATATTGCACTAAATATAATTATGCAATAAGTTATAATCGATCGATCAATCAATCAACAAGTCACAAATATTTATGTGATTACAAATATAAATAATTCACCGTCACTCAAAACAATAATTTAGTAAAAAAGAGAGTCATTCGAGATCGACTATTGCAATTATATATATATATATATATATATATATATATATATATATATATATATATATATATA